TTTTCTCGCGCGAGCCCGCCGCCGTGCGCTTCACCGCGCAGGAAAAGGGAAAGGGCCGCGCACCGGAGACCGCCAGGGGTGTCAGGGAGAAGGAGAACGGGGGCGGAAACGGGATACGGAGGAAGATGGTGGGGCTGCCAAGGGTGTCGCCGCCGCTGCTGGGCCCGGGTGGGAAGAAGGGGCCGGCGCATTCGAAGGCGCTAGGGGCGGTTGGTGGTGGTAGGTCTGGGGCGGGGGCTGGGGCTGGGTCGCGTGCGAGGTTGATTGCGAAGTTGCCGGCGCCTGCGGCTGCGAAGACGGGGGGTCCGAGGAGGGTGCTGGCTGATAGTGCTGAGGCGCCGCGTGGTTGGCGCGGGTAGGCTGGGGGGGGGGGGGGGGAAAGCGGTTCTTTAAGCTTATGGATTATACATCGTCACTTCACTTCACTTTGCATTGTTTTCATTTTCACATATGCCTCGCAAAATATTATGGGATACATGGTCAACGAAGGCCAGTCCTTGTTGGAGGAATTATGTAATGAAGTTCAGCAAAATCAGAAATCGCAACAGTCAGACCCAGTCAGAATCAACAAACTGCCCACTGTTCCGCCTCGACTGATGGTGTCAGATATTCGTTTATATAGTTCAAAGGAAAATCCAAGGGCTCAGATTTAGGGTTTAGATCACCAACTAAAAAGCGTGCTCAGAAGTTTAGATTCGGAACTTACCGGACTTGAACGATGTATACACTCCATTTGTTTTTAAACTTACGAGAGTAGCGCATTTTATTTGTATCATGCTACAAGTTATGAGGCGACGTGTATTTTTGCGCTGTTGATCACCATATCCATACAGCATCATCATCAGTAATGCCCGCGGATGCCCGGATCGACGACCTCGGAGGGTAAATACGCATCCACCAGGTTCGGGCGTTCCCACTGGTCGAGCTCGCGATGTCCTTCGGCGAGCCAGCGCGCAAGCGCGGCGGAATCGCGCGCCGTGAGCTTTATGCCCGCCGCCAACGGCAGCGCCTGCGGGTCGCACGCGGAGACCTGGTCGTCAATCGGGTGCACCTCGAGGCTCGCTTCCCCCACGGCACGCAGCTTGGGGAAAACAGCCGCGCGCGCCGCATGACCGAGTGGGCCGCGCTCGAGCTTGAAGAAATGGAGCAGGAGAACGAGACTGGCGTAGAACATCTTGTTCACGTCTATGGGGCGGTGGTCCGAGGTCAGTCAAATGCTGCTGAGTAAGTGGCGGCGCTTACTGGGGACGCCCATGCACACACGCCGCCCGGCGCCGTGATTGAGGTGCGGTACGCCAACCTTGGGCTGCTTAAGGTCTGTTCGGCCGTAGTGCCCGTCCATCCACCGTTCGGGAATGAACTCCTCTGGGAAGTCGTAGCGCTGCGGGTCGCGGTTGATCTGGTACGAGTTGTACACGACGAGGACGCCCTTGGGTATCAACACACCATCGACGACGACGTCCTCGTGCGTCTCGCGCGGGAAGCCGAGTCGAATAGACGCGAAGTACCGCGCGGCCTCCATTCCGAGCGCCTTGATGTATTCCACGCGGTCCGTGTCAAGCGGGTCCGGAGCCTCGCCACCATAGACTTCTTCGATGGCGCGGTATGCCTTCTCTTGCAGCTCCGGATGTGCCGCGAGCAGCGCGGCGAGCCAGGTAAGACCGGTACCCCCGCTCATGCCCGAGCCAGTCAGCGTCGTCGCGAGGCGCAGCTCCTCGGTCGGGGTCAAAGTGCCGTCGTTGATGCTCCGGAAGATGTCGCCCATTTGGGAGGGTGTGGGGTCGTCCGCGTCCAGTCGCTCATGCAGATCCTTGAGCAGCTTCTGGCAGAAGCCCACCTCGGCGTCGCGGAGTTCTTTAGCGTGCGCCTCTGCTTCGTAGATAGAGTCCAGCCAGAACGACAGACCGAGAGGGCGGAGAACGAAGTGTATGGGGGATGCTGCTGCGAGAGCGAGACGTTCCCCTGCTGCAACGAGGGGTATGTAGTCGTGCACTGGCGTGGCAAGACTACGCTGCCGGAACGCCTTGATGTTCACATCCGCAACGAGGCGTGTCACGTCTTCGTCGAAACGTTGGCCAAAAAGAATATCTGCGCTAACACCGATAGTGGTCGTCCAGAAATGGAATCCAAGGTCCTGTGCGTCTCCCGATTTGGCGCTCTCCGAGAGGAGATTTACCAGTCTAAAATATCTGCGGGCGGCGAAGTGATTGAAACTATAGGTGATGGGATGGGACCACACTTTGTTACTCAGCGAAATGAACAAGACAAACCTCGGAAGTTTGGTGGCGCTCGTCTGAGCCGTTAACAAGCGCCTGTATTTGCTGATCTGTTCACTGAACTTCGTTGCTATCCATAGAGTTAAGAGGTTGCGTAATGTGTCACCGAGTGCCACACATACTGCCAATGGTGGTTGGGGCGTCGGGATCTAATGCCCTGGAGAAAGCCCCATGCCAGAGCTTAAACTCGGGGCGAGACTGGAAAGCGGCTCCTTGTTGGATGAGCGTCTTGTTCACGCATTCATATGTGTTGATAATGACCTAGAAGCGGAGCATGTAATCCTGGAGGGTCGACAGGTAGAAGGCAGCCCGTACCGCCTCTCTTTCACCAAGGGCAAGCCTGAAAATCGGATTGTAAGGAACTATTTCTGCCCAAAGTGATCAATCTACCTGAACATTCCGCCGTATAATTTAGTCCAGTGGGCAAGAGACCGGGCGTGCCCAGTCCTCATCTACGAGCGCATGAGTTTCGTGAAATAAGACCACGCCGTATTGCTGCACCTGGAACAGGTTCCCAACGAGAGGAAGGCCAGCGGGCCCAGGCAGTTTGACCCGACGAGGAGCAAGGTTGATAGAGTCTGAGGACAGACAGACGACGAGTAGAAGACAGAAGAAGAGCAGGATGGTGGTCGCATAGGTCGAAACGGTTATGGAGGAAACGAGAGGGATGAGGGGTGGCAGAGTAGTTTGCATTTCCATGGCGCCTTGAAAGTAGTACACTCAGCAAGGCTTTATATACCCTGTCGGGATGCGGATTCCAAACTGTTGGTTCTAAAGGTGCATATTGATGTTGCATATGGAGAAAATAAAATCGGGAAGACGGAAAGGGAAGTCCGAGTAACAGGGCACCTTATGGGATAGCTGTTTCGATGACCGAGATCCTCCGATAGCCTTACCTGAAGTTGTCGACGGATTGCGTGACCCAGACGAGCTCGAGTAGTCTTGTCAGAAACATTCAGTACAGCCGCGTACTCATAAGCCCCATCTCCGCGGTCCAGTGTTCTCATTACAATCAGGAAAGCACATCTGGCGGGACTACGTGCGCGGAGTGCGCAGCGGCGGTTGGACTGACTAGGTCGGCGCCGGAGAGGAAGCAGTCATGACGGGACTTGTAAAGGTCGCCTTTGTGGGCAGCCAGGAGTCTGTAGTTCAAGCAGATGAGGTCGGAGACGAGTCGCCAATTGCCGCCGTGTGCGCCGCCAATTCGTGCTTGGGCACGCTGGTACCTCCATGTCTGTTGTGTGCGATGGAACGGGACGGTAATACACTGTGGTGCGTCGGACTCAAGTACTTAACCAGTGCCAACGACCACCGAGCCAATTGCCAGTTGAGGGAGAAGGTGAAATTGCACGTGATCCGGCAACTCCCGCTTCAGAATCATGAACAATCATGAACGGCCGTTACTAATACCACCACCGGCATGTCTCCGAAAAACCTTCAACTTCAAAATCGTTCTGGATCTCGGCGCGTCGGACAGCCATTCTTTACCCGGGGTACCTCAGACTACCACGGGAGACCACACCGCGGTCCGCAGAGCGCGTTCTGCGAATAGGCAATCCGACGATGAAGGAACTTCTGAAGTCCGGGAAAATGCGGTCTTTAGCACACACGGTGCTCCGAACCTCAAATTCAAATGTTTACTCGTCCTGCCGCTCATGGTTTCCTGGTCCCGCTACAGAGCCGCGTCATTTCTACTGTGGGCGGGCTCCCACGGCAGCTGCGAACGATTCAGAAGCTAACACGGTTTGTTTTCTTCTTTTTTTACTCGCACGCCATTGGCTAAATTTAAGCATCGGAGCTGGTACCAAAACAACCATTGCCAGTCCAATCTTGGACCACACTTGCGTCGCCGACTAAGGTATTCTTCTTAGCTGCGCGTTGAAAAACCGTCAAAAGTTCGTTCAAGAAAGCCTCTGCAGTTAGTAAGCGCCGAGCTCGATCGCAACGCGCCCGAGATCGACCCATATGCTGTGCCTTTTACCGCGTTTTCTACATTCAAGGTCATTAGCGTTTCGATTTAATTGCGACATGCTTTTCGGTTATGCAACGTTTCGTGGACCAGACTTTCAATTGAAGACGGAGATTGCTTTACGAAGGTAAGTTTTCCCAACGGACTCTGGAAAAAGAAACAAGAAAAATAAAAATAAACCAATGAAACCCAGCCCGCGGCACCTGAAGTTTCTCGCGAGCACTCAACTGTCAGGAATATCAAGAGCTCGACCATGACCCTCTCTGACAGGCCTGACCTCCCGCCGCTAAACGGTTCGTCTACCATTGATCTAAGTGACCAGGAAAAAACAAAATGCATTTTAATTTATATATGTATCCCAGATGCCCCAGACCCAAAAAAGATGCAGGACTAGGTATCAGAGCACGCGTGATATTTTCATCAAAAAGGTTTGTGGTTTGCAAGTCCTTAAATATCCATCCCAGATACCCGGTCGCACTGCACTGTTTCTACGAACTCTGAGAGGGAGGGGGGGAGGTTGAAATTCAACCTTCGATAGGACGCTATTCCGCAACCGTTAGGTCGAATTTCATCGGCAGTGCAGAGAAGAAAAATACGAGGCGAGGACTGGGTATCTGAGTAAAGCGTATTAACGCTTTTCAGAATATTTTTATCAAAAACTTTTGTTATCTGGAAGTCAGCAATGCCGAACGGACGGCCCTGATATTCCCCGCGGACGAAGGGACACAGCCCCGGGCCCGGCCCTAATATTTGTTGGCACCCCGCGGGAATCGAACCCACGGTCTCCCGCGATCGAATATATCAAACCGTGCGGGCCATTCTACCACTGAACTAAAGTGGACAACGAAAGCAAAGGATGTCGAGTCGCTATGACCCGGCTGACAACGTCCGAAAAATACGTAAACGTGGACAAACCGCTGTTTTTCTTCCCAGCCAGGCCTCAGGGCAAAGCTTGATCCAAGAAGAATCAACCTAATTGCTGATTCATTGCCTTCAATATTGATCCCATGACGGTGTGGATAGTTCTATGTTTTTCCCCGACGCAGATGGATTATTTGATCCACTGCCGCCTTCCGGACTCGTAGTTTTTGGCGACGGGTTTGGACTTTTGGTCCACATACTAACAATACTCTATTTTTGTTCGTTCTAGCCTCACGTCGCATTTGTGCTGTTTCATAGTGAATAGCTGGCATTGGCGTGTGGCTCACCCGTAAGGAGCAGTGTGAATAAAATACAGAAGAAAATGCGGAAGAAAAAAACCCATGAAACACAGTGTCGGGCGCAGGAGAAGACTGCAACTGATGCTAGGGTTAACCTCAGACCTCCCGACACGCTGAACCTCAACGTGGAGAACAGTTCTACCGCTGAACTATGGTAACCACGGAAGATTCTACACATGTATACGATTGAACCAGACGGGGAAAGTTGGGAAAAATTGGGGAGTCTAACAAGCTAACAAATGGCTACTGTTTCGTGAGGAACCGAGATATCGGTTACAATAAACCAGCCAGGGAAGATGGCGCTGGCCGTGGAGTGTGGGGATACGGACCTATACGGAGATTGCATCAAGAGATTGACTTTGCGTGAGAAGGATTAGCGTAGACGCACGGTGACGCGTCAGTGGCAGTGCACCTCGCCATCACAAACATCCTTCCTCCAAACATCCTCCGCGATACCCACATACCATGCTTATCTGTGTGCAAAGGGCTCTGATTAAGGAGATTTCGTCCCCAAAATACGCCCCAGGAGATCTGCCACCCTTGACGAAGGGGTTCTGGACATCGCTCAACGGCCACCCGCCAGTCGAAGGATTGTTGACTCCGCGAGAAGTCTTCGCAGCACAGGGGAGGCCGATTGTAGATTATGCTATCTTCCGCATGATAGTCAACTCTGGGGACTTTCTGGGCAAGCCGGCGGGGTTCGTCAAGGTGAGATACATCGAGTCGTGGCGTTTCACTCCAAGTTGAAGGCTGCTCAGGTCATCACGGCGGCCGTCTCGGATAACGAGATTTTTCATGCGCTCCTCGAAAGACTCGACCCTCGCTCACTCGAGGATGTGGCTGAGAATAAAGCGCAAGAAGCATTCCTCGCCTTCGTGGGTGCACATTGGGAACAGGCGTGCGAGAACACCCTGCATACGGTGCGATGGCTTACCCCCATCCTCAAACCATTGGTGTTGGCTGCGGGAGAGGCCTACCTTGCCAGGTACTCTCGCCATAACTCACTCCTAGTGAAAATACTGAAAAATCGGCAGCCACAAGCAATCGCGAGCTGTGACCAAATTTAAAGCCCCCGAGTTCAATATTAAGACGCCCATTCCCGCTGGTCCGTTATTTCATCCCTCTCAAACGCTTATCCTATTTATCATCCCGTTCAAAGATCTCAAGATACTCCACAACCTGGAGAGGATTCAGGGCCCTCGTTTCCCCGTAATCGACCAACAACAATTTGACGAAGATGAGAGCGATTCTTCAGATGCATCCACAGACTCGTCGTCTCCCCGGCGCCCTGTCCTTCATTCCTCCACCCCTTCCGCCGGCCCGAAACTGGACTCGCACGGACGCTATCCACTAGTCGATGATCCCTTCCCGGTATGTGTTCACTTGCCTCTTAGTCGCAAAACCCTGAATGTCAACATGTAGGAATTCTTCTCGTGGGGCGACCGGTCTGGACCGAGTGCAATTGAAGAAGGGCTGGATCGCGTCATCAAGGTAAGATTTTTCATCGATTCCCATGATATTTATAACAGGATTGCAATTAGTCGAACGTGGAGGCGGCCCCGAGAAATGGTGGTTTGCTACCTGGATTCCAGGTATTTTATCCTCCAAAAAAATGAATATACTCTGACATTTAAACGGCTCTAGATCGATTTTGATGTATGCGACTATGGGTACTTGCCTAGAGTTTCTCTAAACTTCGTAATAATCTAGAACGTCCGGGCTCGTCTTCCAGCTACCGAGACAGCTTTACTGGTCGATCCGCTTGTCAGCTTCGAGGAAAAACAGCTCGGAGAGATGATGCAGTGGCAGGTAAGGATTGCCTCTAATCCTACTACCAACTCTAACGAAATTCCAGACCCCGTCCCCGAAGAACCCCGGCCCTAGCAAAGTTTCCTCCGAGGTCCGTTTCTTCCGTGCCAACTTTGGTTCTTTTTAACGACCTTCTTTCGCAGAACATCAACCCTTCTCCGCTGCGTCATTCACTCCGAGGCCCTAAAGCGGGCGGACATTCGAGGGACGGCAGTGCCGGTGGTTTCTTGGTAACTGGATATTCAAAATCTGTCCAGAATTTGCCTCAACTTCCCTTCTTTTCAGAATATCCCGATTGGAGACAGCCCGCGGCGCCCCTTCGCACGACGGAATACGAACGGCCACAACTCGGTCCCGGTCTCCCCGAATGGTCAACCCTCGTGATGTGAATATATTCAGCTCATACTCGCGTCCATGTCCTCATATCGTTTCAGTCGTTTTGTTTGGCTCGATTGTATCGACTCGGTATTAGCATGTAATACGTCTTCGACGTGTGAGTATATTCAACGCATACTTACATCTGTGCTCTAATATCCTTGTCTCACAGTAATTTCGTTTTTTAGCTCGATTGTATCAACTTCTTATTAGGATTAGTGTAGAAAAAGCTGGATTGTAACCGCATTTGTACTCGCATTGGACTCGCATAGTAAACTAGTAAAATTGGGATTTTGATTCTGACCCGGACTCGCATAAGAGAAACCGTCATTGAGCATGGGATTACATAGGATCCAAATCTAACAAGCCCCTCTTCAAGTTTGACCTCGGACGACAATTTGTTGCGAGTTGAATCGAAATGTCCGCTTTAGGAACTGGGCGGTGATTGTTCATGCTTGGAGCGAAGGCTATCCTTATGCCGGTTTCGTTCGGAACGCCGGGCACTGCCCCATATATTCTTTCAAGCTGTGGTCCTGACTAGAAGATGGGGATGCGACGTGGACCTCCACATATACCTCTCTAACTCATACGACCTCGAGGACTACTTTCATGGGTTCCGCTCTTTCGACCGCAGCAGCCACAGCAGCCGCCGGCGCTGACCGCCTGATTCCTTCGATGCTACCCAAGTCATTCAGTGAATCTCTCCAGCCTCTACACATTTGTCAGAATCCTGATTATTGGCCAAGCGGTGGTGATGGTCGGCCTAGACGGCGCGGGTAAAACGAGCATCGTGAACCGGCTCAAACGACGCGAGCTGCCAATGGGCGTGCTCGCTGAGACAATCCCCACCATAGGTACCGTCCGACGAACCATGCGCTCTTGTCCTTGCGGCTCACAATACTCAAGGATCCACTCTCGAAACAATACCGTATGGGAGACACAGCGTCACCGTCTGGGAGTTTGGTGGCATCGAGAAAGTTAGGCCATTGTGGAGGCGATGTTGGTGATATCTCATTCTTGTCGGTACTTGACTGCTAACCTGTTCATTTACTCCGTGCTGTAGATTTTTGGAACGCACATGCATTCGTCTTTGCGCTGGACGCCGCCACACCCGACCGTTTCGGCGAAGCTAAAGACGAGCTGCATCGGATGTACGAAGGGACCGGAGAGCGGTTCCCATTGCTGGTGTTGGCGAACAAGACTGATTTGGAGGGGGCGGCGGATCTGGACACAATATCGCGGGCACTTGACATTGATGCGCTCTCCAAGTCGCAGCCGGGTAGGGTGGTAGCCGTCAAGGTGAGGACTATCTCATCGGGTTCATGAGGATTTGGACTGAGTTTCAACGCCTGCAGGGTATATCAGCCATGACCGGTGAAGGGATGGACGAGGCGCTCGAATGGGTTCGTCCTCATTATGTGTTCTATTCTTCGTGGTTCCTAAATGTTCCCGGTAGCTGACGGCAAACGTATTGTATGAGCTGATCGTACAACACAACGGAGATAAGGGGAATGTAGTGCAAGCCTGGTGAAATCCACAATTGAGCTGGGAAAGTATCCGAGACGAAGGATACGCGGTCCCCAGGATTTTATCGGTCCAGTATGTATTAGGTACGAAAAGTTAGTGCTAGTGTATCACGGATATTTGTAATTCTCACTCTCTTAATTTTCGAGCTATTTTCCAACACAGAATTGGTGAAACTTTACGAAGCTGCTGTCTGTATCAGCCACAACGCGGGAAACCAATATTCTGCAAGTTACGGACAAGTTCATCCAGATAAATAAAAATATGATAAATCCGGACATTTAAAGCTCCCCACAATACGAGGTCAAGTCCGACTTCTTTAGCCAGGATGATTTTAGTCTCTTGACTCTCGCTCGTTCCTCGGGAAGAGTTGTTCATGAAACAGTCGAGTCTTCTTTCATTATCTCTCTGGAGATATTGAGTGCAAGCAAGTGTGAAAACCTTTGTCGACCCCGAGCCCAACCTGAGCACCGCATTGTCGGCTCGAGGGATAAAAAAAAACTGGGAGCGAAAGATAAGATAAGATAACCACTTACTCATTGATGACGCATCACCGTGACTGCTTCTCTCTTTCCACAATGGCGACGCTCGACTATATCGATGTCCCCGGGTCGGCCACTCGCCTTAGGCCACAGTCGAGTCAGTCTCCGAGCGAAATACGACGAGCCCCCAAGATTCTCACCTCGCTTCCTCACCCCCCTCCACCAATAATGCACCGGCGCACCGATTCCGCTTCGTCTATAACGTCACCCTCGAAGACGGCGGTAAACTTGCTTCCCCAGCTTCTTCTTTCCTCATTGCCGTCAAATACATCCCAGCAAGCCACCACCAATCCACGGGCAAAACAGCAGTCAAAAACTCTCTTGTCTTCTCGCGATCCCCTTTCTGTGCCCATATTGACCGTCAACTTCA